CTTCAAGGACACTCAGCTGGAAACTGATGTTCTGTTCCAGCAGTAGCAAACTGCAAAACAGGCAAGACTTTGCTGGAGAAGCATCCAAAGAACATTAAATATGCTGGCAAAGCTAAACAGCAATAGGATCAGGCATTCAAATGAGCATGAAATATGGTTATTTACTTCAGCCACAATTTTGTGTTCAGCAAGATTTGCTGTTGTAAGTATCTGTCTTGAACAGCAGAATTATCAAGGAAATGCTTCTTCAGCTGAGAGACTGTCCTCTCCCACAGCCTTGGAGTGCATGTGCCAGCAGCAGCACTGTCTCACCAAGCTCATGGCTGCAGGTGATTGCTGAAAAATTATGATTCAGTGTTGCGTAGTTACACAGACAGAGATCTAACGCATGAGGAAGTCAAGAGCAGAAGACTGTCTCTCCCAGTGGCCTGAATGTCCATCTCTGGTTTTTATGTACTCTTCTACAATGACAGTTTCCTCTGATTTCCCCTTCTTCTGATAGGTCTTGTGCAGTTACTGAAGGATATCAGCCACTTGGGGACCTGGGGTGCAGAAGATGTGTGGGTCCCAGGCTCTCTGTACGTACATGCATTGCTCTATAATCTGCTCACAAGGCTAAAACATTCATAGAATAGAAATGTAGAATCATTTAGCTGGGAAAAATATGTTTAAGTCAAACTGTCCTGACTGCCAAGACCACCACTAACCATGTCCTTTAGTGCCACATCTGCAGGTACCTCCAGGGAAGGTGACTCAGTCATGTGCTGAAGTGAGTGACCAGCCATGTGCCATGAGTAATTAACTGCAGGAGAGGTATTTACACTGTAAATGGCAAAACAATCCTAAATCCGTAAGGTATTTATGACTTGAGGGAATAAGTCTACACAGCACAGCTCAATCAGACTTCAGGAAAATTGGATTGCACCAACACAGTGCTGCACTTCCAAGAGGATCTACTCGCTCAGATCAGGCCAAATATAAATACAGCTGCTATGCTTCCAGACCCAGCATGGATGTCTCTGTGCCTGTGGGATAAATACACTCTGTATCTCAGACAAAACTGAGTATGCCAGGTTTTGGTGTGTGGAAACACCATCATTTATACATTGCAGCCTCTAGATGAGTGTCAGTTGATCTGCCTTCCCCTGAGAACAGCTTCCTGTCTCCATTGATCCTCATTATCCCATAAGTCCTTCCATATAGCTAAGGGATTCTTCAGATTTATTGTTTTGTCCAAAACCAATGAAAATTGGATGTTGCAATATCCCTTGCAGGTTCAAACAGCAGAACCTCATTTGCTTCATGTAAGAGCCAGACAGTTGATATTCACTCAGCTTTCCACCACAATGTGAGGAACAAGGCTGGAGACACAAGCTGCCCTTGTAGGTGAAACCCACAATAAGGCCTTCATTTCCTCTTGGTTGAAATCTCTACAAATACTTAGGTTGCTGAGATTATTCAATGGTCTTGGAAAGACTCAGGGAACCACAACAATCCTCAATGGTCTGCTTTGCAAGTTAATGGCTTTCCTTTCTCTGTGTGTGCACTTACTGAGAGAAACCTAAGCCTTTCCCCAGCCTTCACCTTTGATCAGTGCAGGTATCAAATGCTGGTTGGCTTAGGTACATTTTGTGCTTGTTTCTCATGCAAATGAAAACTACTATACACCAGCTGGCACCACTGCCAAATTTGTTCATGGTTTTCATTCTGTTTTTTACCTTTTGCCTAAAAGGAGTATTATGTACATGGAGATAAGTTTTCTGTGAGAAGATAGCGAGAGATTTTTTTTCTCTTACAAATTATGGGATTAGATCCATTTTGGAGTCATTCCACTGAAACCTGTAGTATTATACCAGTGATAATTTAATTAGAGTATTTGCTAAAAATCATCATTAAAAATCTATCTGTGTTTCAAGAGCTTTGTTAACATTATGGTGAGGTGGATCACTTACATAATTTACACTATGCCTAATCATGGTTAGCCAAATATGCTCCAAATCAGCCCTGTGTGTGCAGGCCTGATAGGCCAAGTCCAAGCCCAGGGCTGAATCTGATTTTTTGAATTTGAAGAATTAGCTTGTACACAGCCATGAGTCCTTTCTCATGCCCAAAGTCACAAGCTTTCTCCTGCAAGCCTCCCGTTGTTCCTGGGCTATATATTCTTGTCAACAGGGTTGACATCAAGTCTCACCAGAAACCCTGGTTTCTTTTTCCAGACCAAATACACACACACAAAAAGACAAAAAATAGTGCATGTTGACACAGTGTATATTTAGATTTAGCCTTAGAAAATCAAAATTAGGCCTGAATCCCTGCAGGATTTGGGGTGAGACTATAAAACAGACACCTGGAGTTAAATCTTCCTTGCTTTAGGATTTCTGATGACGATAAGCTCTAGTTAGAGAGATCACACCAAGTGATTGATGAGCTTTGGTTCTTGTTCAGTGGATTGTTCTTTAATTCGATTAAAATAGCAACAACCCTGCCCAGAAGATTTTATCCATTTGTCCATCTTTAAGTAATCTCATTTAAATCAGAATGTGGTGGCTTGCAGGCTCACAAGAACAGTAAGAGCAATGTTGCCCTGATTTTTAAAAGTGTTAAGTTTTCTGTTATAGTTCTTTTGAAAGTTTTAAAGTTCTCATAAAACTTCTTTAGCCTTCTGATAATGTTTACATATTTCTACTAGAGTTCTTACACGCTGTTCATGTAAAAAATGATTGTTTTGCATTCTTCTTTGTGGGAGGAGAGAATTGATGAACTGTTAGTTTGACCAGTGTGGTTGAAGAGGTGGCAATTTCATCCTGCAATCCACTGTCACTTTTGGAATTCTATATATTGCGAGGTCAGAAATAAAATTAGCTCTTTTTCTCTCTTGAACTCACCAAGCTTCTGTGTACTCATTTTGTGTCCAATAACGACAGAGCAGCTCATTACAAAGCTTCAACCTTGGTTCAGACTTGATGTTTGAAGTTAAGCACTGACATGTATAGACTTTTCAACCTTTGCTTAGGGCTTTGAATCAGTTTGCCAGAAGAAGTCACCCTGATCACTTAATTCTTCATGTCACTGCAGATTCACCTGCGCACGACCATCGTGAGGGCTGCTTGGTGATGGTCGTGCGCAGGTGAATTTATAGGAACAACTTGAGGACAGCAGTCACTACAAGAAGTGTCTCAAGCCAGAAGACCTGAGCAAAGTAGGGCCATGGGTACACCTGCACTGTGAGGGCTGCTTGGTTACACAATCTATAGTTTAATATCCTATGTATATTACACAGTCTTGCATGCATTTAGTATTATGTACTATTATTATGTAGTATAATGCAAAGGCTTATGGAAGAGCCTACCTAAATTCAGATTACCTGTCTGTGAGCTTTTAGTAAAAAAATTAAGTAAAAAAAAAAAACTCCAAAAGTAGTATATGACCTATTGCCATTACTTTTGTCCACTTGTATGGCACGAAAGCTTGACATTCTCAATAAATCATTTAAGACAAGCAGCTAATTCCTATAAATATATTTTCACTGAATTCTAGCAGGCAGTTGTAGCTGCAGTTGTGGCTTCACCTCTCCAGAAATTCTACATTTTCCTAATAAACTCACAAACAAAAAAAATTCTGTACCTTCAGCAGGTTTCTGTTCATTTGTTTGCAAGATCTGTAAAAACCACTGTAGAAAGATTTGTAAAAATCAAATAGCAGCAATGCAGACTCATCTAGGGGAAGAGAACTGCTTTTCTATAACACTTTTTTTTTCCTCTCACACTGGACAATACTGGCAGGTTGAGATTTAACCAGAGATGGGCTCCTTTTACAAGATTGCTTATATAAAGCGAAGATAACACCAGCTGGGTTCATTTGAAAGAGGACATCTTGGAAAGAGCTGACAGCGCTGCTTTTGGAATAAGACTGGAATGAAAATCTGAAATAATAGCTCCTTCCTGTCTGGTAGGTATAACCCTTAATTTCTTGTAGAATGCATAGGATAATAATTTGAAGGAATTGTCACTGATATGTACTTTAAGACCCTTCTATAGATATATATTTTTAAGTAGAGGCTGAGTGAAAATGTTGAAATGTATTTGTTTTGTAAGAACTACTGAATTAGAATGATTTTTTTTTCCCATAAATTATATTTTTTACTTCTGATTTAGTCTGCTTAGTGATGTGTGTATGAGGGCTGATACTGAAGAGTGTCTTCAAAGGGAAAATATGAGAACTGCAGTCCCAATCCTACAGCTGTATATGTTTTCCCCTGTGGGAAACATTTTTCAGGTTTGAGGCCTGAAATGTAAATGTAAATAACTTCTATGGATGTTTTCCTAGAAACTCAACATTTAGCAGCAAAGAAGAAAATGCATAATTCACCAAAACTAAGCTACATGAAGTTAAGATTATAGGCATCAGAATAGCCGTCACCACAGAGAATAGTTTCAGCCCTAATTTTAAGCACATTATGTATGTTCTTGTGACATATTTATTCTAGTAATTTCTATTCCCTCTTTTTTTCAAATCCCACTGTTTCTGTTTCATTTAGTGTTATATTAACACTTTAAGTTTAGACTCTTTGCAAGAAATCAAACTAGAATAATTAAAAGCCACCACTAAACTGAAATAGTAAAATTGTCACAGTAGTTACCCAGTAATAGCAATGGTCTTTGAAAGATTTACCCTGTAGTTGCAATTACATTGGGTGACAGGATATCAGTAATGTTATTTTTTCTCTCTGCGAAAAGGACATTTTAACAGTAGCTATTACAAGCTCAGGACTGCAGATAATGCATTGTTTTTATTTCCACTTTTAAAGACATTTTCAGCTTTTATTTCCTGTGTCCTCAGATCATTGCAAGAAATGGTGACTCTTGCTATTTATCTGCTGGTCATCTTGGCTCGAGCTCTTGCAGGGCCTTGCAGCCCAAATAAAGCAGGTAAAATAACTTGTGTCTCCTAAGATCTTCTCCTGTAATTAAGCTGCCATAAGGTTTGGTTTTTTTTTTCCATTCAAAATCAAAAGGTTTTCCTTCAGAAAGTTAAACTGTGGGTTCTGTAGACCTAATCCTTACATTTCTTTTATTGACCTGTTTTGAGCTAGCTAGCACAGTAAAGAATGTTCCATACAAGTCCTAACCCCACAAAGAATTAGGCCTATAGTTAACTCTGAATAACCATAGTGCAGGAAAGTTAATCACAAAAGCATAAAATAGCAAAGAGAACAAAAGCAATTAGAAATGTTCTGTAATAGCACAGATGCAGCAGATCTTTGCTGCCCAAACTGGGCTTTAGTCCCACGGACTACAGTCAGATTGCCAGTGGTGATTGAATGTGCTGGGCTGAACCCCTGAAACACACTGTTATATTAAAGCAAGAAAAATACAAAAATCATTGAAGGTAGTGATCTAATTGCACACTGATTAGTGCCTACAAACTGAAGTGATCTGGTGCCAGACAGACCTGTAATGGAGATTTCACTACAATTACAAAATGTGCTCTAGAAATTTGTTGCAATATGCCTCAATTTAGTGTTTGTTTTTTAGTGCATGACTGCTGTCAGAATGCTGTCAGTCATTTCATGGTATATCTAAAGTATTTGGCCCTCTAGCCATTTATTTCAGTACCTTTATTTGCACAAGCAGTTTTTCTTAACTACAGGAATTTTCATAGCTCTCAAGTTGCCAGTTTTAAATCTGAGCATTAACACAAGCAGAATCAGCTTGCATGTGCTAAAGATTTGTTAATCAGAAAAAAGCAAGTTGTTAAGATGTTTAGTTGACTTTCCCAGATTATTCCCTAGCAGACATGGAAAGGCTGCAAAATGAGGCTTTTAGCATAAAAAATGAGAGTGGCAAGGGCTTTAAAAGAAGTAACTGAATAAGTCTTCCTCAATTTTCAGGTCACTAATGGTTAGTCAATATTTGGCCTTATTTCCATCAGAAGTTCAAATTAGCTCTGCCTGTGAAAAATACCAAATCTGCTATCATGAAGCAATCAGTCTGTCTGTAATGATGTTCAGCATTCATGTATATATTAGCAATCACCATGTTTGGAAACACACAGCACTGCTGGTAGCAGGGCTGGGAGTTTGGGTAATTTCCTATTGTTGTTAGAAGGCCCAGGTTCTTCAGTTCAGTTTTAAATCTTGGCTTTTGACTTGACAATTGGAAAAATTCAGTTTGTGCTAGCACTATAGTGCCAGTCCGAGAAAGAGCAGAATATTTATTGTGGCCAAGATCGATACACCATTACAAAACAGTGCAGATCTACAAAGCCTACCAAACAACCTCACCAATATTATTTTTACAGAGTCAGTGGTGTTACAGAAGCCAGCTTTGCAGCATAAATTAATGAGACATTTTCAGTGCAGTCTTTTTTACTTCAGGTTTCTCAGCAGTGTCTCTGCTTTTCAATCAGCTATTCCAGAAAGATAAAAAATTTTCACAAAGTTTTGCATTGATTAAAAGGCCAAGGCTAAACTCTTCCAAAGAGGACAGAATTTAACCACTTAAAGGTCCATTTTGTGTAGCAAAAGCTGCTCTCATTAGGGGATGTTCCAGCACACACCCCTGTTCGCAGAAGGTTAAGCCCAATGGAAAGTGAGTGGGCGGGCCCACCTCTTTGAAAGGAAATTACTACTCAATAACTCCGGGTGTGTCATTTTCCTTCCAGATGTAATTCTGGTATACTGCTATCCTAAAACCATCATTACCAGAATTCCAGAGTGTCCTTATGGATGGGAGGTTAATCAGCTGGCACTTGGAGGCATTTGCTACAATGGGATCCACGATTCAGGATATTACCAATTCACAATCCCAGACCTTTCACCTAAAAACAAATCATACTGTGGCACACAGTCAGAGGTAAGACTATGAAGGTCAGAATTTCTGACTCAAGAAATGGCTGCACTCACTTAAGTCCTATGCTCTTCAGCTTGAAGTAAGCTTTAGGTGCCAAGGGAAGAAGGAGGCAAACTGCAGAGTCAAGGAGAAGGAAGAATCACACAGCTCTGTGCTTTCCAGTTCCAGGCAAAATACTCACAAGCTTAGTGATATTAGTCTCCTGTTCACTTGCACCTGTATTACACAGAATTTATGTTTAGTAAGGCATATGAATAGGCAGCACAGCATATAAAGAGTTACCAAACCATGTTTCCTTGGGGAGGCTGTTTTGACACCAGAGTCTTCATGTTTCAAAGTACATTCCTGATGTCTCTAGGACTCAGTACTGCCCACATTTCTGTGTCTCACCATTCACAGTTCAAGAATCCCGTGTATCACTTCTATAACTCCATCGTCTCCAATGACTCCTCAGTGATTGTGAAGAACCAGCCCGTGAATTACTCATTCACCTGCACGTACAATGCCAACTACCTGGTGAACCAGGCTGCCTTTGACCAAAGGTATATCCTCTTCTGGGAGTGTGTCTCACCCTGTCCTCATCACCATGCCTCACTCATGCAGAATTCTGTCCTGTCCCCAGGGTGGCCACTGTCCATGTGAAGAACGGGAGCTCCGGCTCATTTGAAAGCCAATTGTCCCTCAACTTCTACTCTGTAAGTGCTCTTTGCCACTCACACCTTCACCTTTACCTTACAAAGGCTTCAGCTGAAGAGCTGGGAAAAAAAGGGCGGCTGCTCCTGACTTTTATTTGTCATGGAGCACACTTCTAGCCTGGAACAGATAATTGCAGTGGGATTGGCAGGGGTTCTTCTTTCTGCTGATTAACAGGGATATACTTAAAGTGAACAGAGCAGACACATGCCAACTGTTCTTTTAATCCCTCAAAATCAGACAGATTTTTCTGCTGAGAGGTACATTTCTAACCTGCTGACAGGTTTTAGAAGAAAAATCAAAACTAGTGTGTAGTCCCACTGCAAGAGCAGCATGAATCTGCACATACTCCTGGCCTTGCACAGCCTCTATAGACACAGCAAAGCTCCTTGCATTTCTCTTGTAGCTTTCTCCCTGGTCCTCCACTGACAGATGTTTCATGTACCCCACAGATCTTTAGGTCATGCTGGAATTTTGTTGCCAACAAAATATTGTCCCTTGATATCTGTTAGATCTTTTGAAGCATCCCTCTCCTCTCTATAGCTCCACTGCACTGTTGGAGCAGCCAGCTCCTAATCCTGGAATCTTTTGTCCACAAAAGCACAGTCAAAAGCACCAAAACAGCCTCTTTATTTTAGCACAGCTAGAAAAAGCACAACTAGGAACATACTGTGTTTAAATTATAGGCCTGGTAAAAGGAGCATTTACCACTAGGTAAGCCAATGCTAGGACTAAATCTGATATTCTTTGTATAATTCTGGTGCTAGCTTTGTTTCCATCTTACCCAACAAGAAGCATTGGAATTTAAGGTAGGCATTTCAGTGTATTTGTAACAAAAACTTTTCAGCTGGCTTTTTTTTTTTTTTCTTTTGTGATTTCTGCTTGATTTCATTCCTTTTCTCCAACATCTGGCCATGTTCTGACTCCATTCCCATCCTACAAACCTATCTCCACTCTCTTACTCCCACCAGCTCTCTCCACCACCAGAAGCAGCAGCAGCAAGCTGCTGGGAATACATGCAATACATGCTACAACCCAAACAGCAGCAAATTCTGTCACTGATCATCATTATACACCAAATATAAACAAAAATATTTTTAAACATCATCTTGGGTTTTCAATACTCCTACTACCAGTGTAGAGTTTGGAGGTTGCAGGTTATAAGAACCCAGATTTCTGGAGTCAGTCTCTCCAGTGGTGTCTGAATTTGAATCATGCCTTGCTTTGCATGTTACGAGTAATGTATTATGCCTTTGTCTTTGTCTTCCAAAGAATGCCAAGTTCTCAAGTATAAAGGAAGCCCCCTTTGTCGTTGAAACATCTGAAATTGGTTCTGACATATTTGCTGGCGTGGAAGCCAAGGGCTTAAGTGACAGGTAGGCAAGGGAAGGAGGAATGAGTAATAAATTGGCAATTGGGACATTTCTTGCTAATCTGGGGTTTGTATCTCCCCAGATTTAAAGTTGTTCTCAACAACTGCTGGGCAACTCCCTCCTCAGAGTATTTCTACCAGATCCACTGGCCTTTGATCACCAAGGGGTAGGTGCTGGTGGGACCCAGGGGAGCACCTGTACTCAGCCCAGCCCTGAGGATGGTGGTGGGGTATAGGGAGCAAAGGAAAAGCTGGCCCCCAGCAGGGCAAATGCTTTCATTAGACTGTCACCTCAGGAGATGTTTCACTGAAGCCATGGGGGCTCTGACACTGCTCCTCCACACACGACACAGGTGTGCCACGGACTACTCCATCCTTGTGCACGAGAACGGGAAAACGAACCGGGCCACGTTCCAGTTCAACGCCTTCCGCTTCCGCAACATCCCCAAGCTGTCCAAGGTGTGGCTGCACTGCGAGACGCACGTCTGCGACAGCGAGAAGTTCTCCTGCCCCGTGGTAAGGCCTCCCTGCTGGGGAAACACACAGTGCCACGTTAGACAGGGCACTGCCAGCCCTCCCCGAGGGTATTGCGGGTGCAGAGCCAGCGCTGGGCTCTCAGCAGATGGAGGCACAGCACTGCGAACCCAGCTGTGCACCCCGACCCCTGGCGTGCCACAGGCAGCATTGGGAAACTTGTTTAAAACTATTGAGAAATAGGGTAGCCATTGAAAAACTCAAAAAGCTCCTGTCAATATCCCACACTACAGACCTAACAAATAGCTACAGTTAAACACAAGCCGGGAATAAATTAGAAAGCTGAGCTTTTTTCATTTTACCAAGTATCTTTGTGCTAAGAGCAGCCTGGAGGCAGTCAGAGAACCTGCCTCAAAGCTCCCAGTCCCCCTTCCCAAGGAAAGTCCTCTCTGCCATGCTGCAGAAAGTTATTGCTCTTGCAGACATCCTACTCTGCATAAAATACATAAATTGTCTCTGGTGCAGGAACTGAGGTAGAAGAGTGAATTCCTGTATTCTTAGATGGGAGTGTGCTATACAGGCACATAATTTAACAAGGGCAGGTGCCCATAAAATGTTTTTCTTTAAAAACTTCTCTCTCCACCCTTCACCAAGTCAGAGCTTTGCCATTCTTTCTCTCACGCAATGAAATGGAATTTTATTTAATCTGAAATGAAAGCCCAAAATACTCCTTAGCCAATATGCTGTCATTTCAACAACAAATAGTTCTTGGTGGAGAGGTTCATTCCTGGTGAACCCAATTTTTCTTTCTAACACTTTCTTAGTCCAGGAGAAAATTAATACAGCATTTTGTATTATACAGCCTCAGTCTAAGCAGGAGGAACTGACTTGTGCAAAATTTGCATGCTTGACAAAAACACATTGTTAGAAATTCTAAGTTTCAAAGGTAACAGAAAAAAACTCTTAGGTTTTGTTGTTTGTTTTTCATGATTTCTTCAACTTTTTATCCAGCCACAGATCAGAACTGAAAGAAAACACAAACCCATTACTTCATATTTGCCCCTCTGGCAGTACTGTCAAACACCTACATCGTCCTTTCAGGCACTGTGTGGAATTCCCACCTCACCCTCCAGTGCAGGATAATTGCTCGATCAGGCAACATCCCTCGAGTCCACTTCCCACTCATAAAGGCCTGATGGTCTCCTGCAATTTAGGCTGAACCAAGCTGGTGGTCTGTGCTTACAAGAAACTCATAACCAGAATTACTACATGCTGGGTTTGTAATAAAAATGCCCACAGCTGGGGCTCTGCAGAGGTCAGGAGATGCACAGGGACCTTTAATCTGCAGAACACTGCCTCCAATACAGACCCTGTCAGCTGTGACAGGCATCATTAGTGCTGGACATGAGCTGACCTATATGGAAAGGATTTGGTGCTTCCTATTTCTACCCAATGGGCAACAATTATCATCAGCAATAAACAGCCACAGAAGCCTTCACAGAGGTCAGGGGTTAAACAGATGGAGCTCAATTTCCCCCTTCTTGACAGGAGTTTTGTTTAAAGCAGGGTGGGAAAGCCCACCAAAAATCTTCAGAAAATGAACTGTAAAGACTCACTTTAAATCTCTCCCAATAATTACTGGCAGGAAAAAAAGAAACAAAAAGAAAACCCTAGAAAATATGCAGCAATTTCCTTGGTTGGAAACATAAGAATTCTGCCTGGGTTTTTTTTTTAATAATTTGTAATTGTTGTGGTATGCATGGCTTTCTCTCTGCTCTCTTGAGACGTGTGACAAGCGCAAGCAGCGCGCGGAACAAACCGGAGGGGTTCTGGTGGCGGAGATCACCGTGCGCAGTAAGTGCCTGCGGTCCTGGGGTGCTCCCCCCTTTGGGAGGCAGTGAAGCTGGCAAGCAGAGGGAGCCAAAGCCCTCTGCCAGGCTCCTTTCCCCCGGGGCAGCAGGAGTCTCCAACAGAAGTTGGTCCCCTCTGACTCTGGTAGAAGAGCTCAGTGAAATTCTCTTCACTTGCCAAGTGACTCAAGGCACCCCTTTGGCATTTATAATAAATGGCCAAACCACTGGCACACGGAGCTGGCAGTGAAAGCTCTGCTCACCTGCCTGTGACCTCAGCAGCACTCAGACACGCTCTGACAGGGTGCATGGGAGTGGGAGACAGGTCAGGAGCAGCAGGAAGCATATCCACAACACCTTCATGTGTTACAAGGGTGCTTTGTGCCTATCCCTCCTGTCACACTCATGGCACTGCCATCAGCCTTCAGCACTGTAGAACAACAGTTTCCTCCAACTGCTGCCTCCTGCAGGCACCAGGGATTTCTTTCTGAGCTGGTTAATCTTTTGAAACAAGTCCTTGGAACAAACAATGTTTTCACTAGAGCCCTTTAACTGCATCTGCACCAATCTGAAAGCCAATTTAAAATTACAAATACAGATACAATAGAATTATTAGAATCCATTATGCTGCACCAGTAAACCCCCATCGATGTCAGAAGGAAAAAGAACTGAGGATCCTTTTATAACTTCAAACAGTAAATACAAGAGGAAGAAATATTCATAATTCCAAAAGGTGACAAATGTTTTCTGTTCTGCTTTTACAAAGCACACTGGTGCACTTTGCCCTGTTTTAATCATCTTGATGTAATATTTTTCTTCCTCTTTTATACAGGCAAAGGTTTATCCAGATTTTACACACTCTCAGGTAAACACAAAGTATGACAATGAAAGTATCAATCCCAAATACAGATTTTGAGTGTCTTTGTCAACATAAAATCCACAGTACAAAGAAAAAACCTGAAATATCAGTAAATTTGACAGAAGAGTGAACATTTCAAAATCATATTTTATTTCCCAGTGTAATATACTTTATTTTCCTTCTTTTGGTACATCCCTCAGGCAATAAAATCATAGCAATTACTTCCAATATGGAACAAACTTTTTTTCTTCAACTGTCACACCCTCTTCCCAAAAAGGAACAATCATATTTTGCTGGGTTAATAGGGTGTCTGAAAGCATTTCTGATTTGAAAGCCTTTGAAATACACCTTCCAAAGTCTATTTGTTAACATTTGATATGTTGACAGAGCCACATTAGGGCATGGAGTTTTATTGAATGGGGTGGGAAGAGAAGGTGAAGGGGAGCTGACAGGGAAGTACTCACATATAGCCTGTGTTTCTATTGCAGATATCATCTTCCACCTACTTTTCGTGATTGGATTTTCTGCTGTTTTATTATAAAATGCAGCCCAGCTGTATTTCATAACTTTCCCTGATCCTGTTTGGACCTGGACTTCTTTACTAAAGATGTTTATCTTACAGGGGAAAAAGGAAAGCCACTAAAAATCCTTGTGCATCATTTCACCAGATAAATAAAACATTCCATGAGCTTTGTGCCTCAAATTCTGGAAAATCCCAAAGCAGATTTGCTTCTCCCAAGTCTCTGCTGGCATTTTGAACTAGTGAAAACCCCTGGGTTATGTATTCTGCCAGCACCTCCTTGTATAAAGCTGTGATGGCAACAGGACTTGTTTCTGCACAGAATATAGAGATGTGCAAACTCAGCATTTTTCAATGCCAAATTTACCTTCAGGGTCCCACATTCCTGTCAGTCTCAGCGTGGTACCAAACTCCCCTCCAGGCCTGGTCTTGCAAAGTCCCAGTTTGTTCTGTAAAGCCTTTGAACAAAACAAAAACCAGCATAACATGCAAGGATGGGAGGGAAAGGGTGCTTTTCATGTAGCAGTAATTAGAAGGTGCTCAGAGTTCATTACCTGACATTTCCATCCTGATTGTCAGTGTTGTCAGAATTGATTGGTTGGATTAAGTAGAGCACACTGTAGCTGCACATCTTGCTGACTGGACAGGCTCAGTGCTGGATGCTTACATGGTGTGGGCGCATATTGAGCACATCTGAGGTTGGAAAACAAACTAATGAGCTTTACACTTCCTTGAAGACATAGCAAGTGGCAGACACAGCAGGGTCCAGGTGTTTGGTCTATCCCTGAGAAACAACAGTAAGACAAAAACACTGGGAAGGGAAATCATGATTTATAAAAAGCAGGAAATATCAGGACATTAAAAAATTCCCCAACAAGCATAACAGTAGAATCCTTACTTCCATTAGTTACTAGAACAATATTGAAAAAAAAAAACAAAACCTTTTACATCTTAGATTTTTTTCCATGAAACTTACAGGATCCTGAATGTGAAAGAGGAAAGAATTACTACAGTTGTTACACTTCGAATTAATGAACACGGTGGGTGTACCTGTGTTTGCACATACCGAAGAAAAAGCGCATTACAGATTTTTTACTACTGTTTGTAGAGAGGGAGCCTCCTGAATAACTCTGTGAAGGATTTTCATCTCCCTGATAACGCTCATTTTTGGTAAAAGCTCATTGTAATGAAGACCATGCGGAGCTAGAACACGCATCCATTACCCCCAGGGGTAAAATAAGCACATTTCAGTGCGTTGCTCCTGTCGCTGCTCCGGGTGCGATCCCAGCCCGCGGAGCTGCGGAGTGCGCGGGGGGCAGAGGGCGCTGCCCGCGCCGGGCTCCGCGGTGCTGCCGCTCCCGGATATATATATATATAGGATATATATATATATAAATATAGGGGCACCCTGAGCCGGCAGAATCACCCGCCGCCCGCCTGTGCTGCGCTGCTCCCTCTCCTCTGCCCCCCTCCCACTCACACCCCACGTTTCAGCACCTCCAAGCTGCTTTTACCTCTCCAAATTCTTGTCCTTCTCCAAAGCCGGTGTCTTTTGCCTTGCTTTTACAACGTTCACTGCGCTCCTATCGCGTCTATTTTGTGCAGAAAGCATCGATGCCAGTTTCCTTGGCAGGTAAATTCTTTCTGGTTATGCAAGAAGTGTGGCTTTGGAACCAACCGTGCTGGATTTCAGCAGCTGTGAATGCGCCTGTGAATTCCCAGGCCGCTCCCGCCGGCCGTGGGATGGAGCCTGTGGCACACACATCTCCCGGCCGTGCTCCCTCCTGCCTGCTCCGCTCGGGATCCCTGTCTCCCTGCACTCCAGAAGCGGTTTGTTGCCAAAAAACAAACAAACACAATGGTTTGTTGCAAAAAACAATCAAAACACAACTGAAAAACAGCTGCCAGAGGTGACTGTGGAAAGGTCTATCTGACAGAGAAGGCAGCAACACATGAACACGTTTCAGCTCCAGAAGTACTGCTCTGTAAGAAAGCACAAGTTGTCCATCATAAATAGTTTGCATTTAAAAAAATCCACCTTCTTTTTTCCTAACCTAGCATATGGCTCATCACTACTTATTCTACTAAACACTATTTATGCCTGTGTCAGAAAATGCAATGATTGTGAAAGATTTTAGCACAAGATGAAATTTGGTAAACATCATCATTTCAAATGGACTAAAATAATGGATCTTTTCCAGTCAGGGCATGAAGATGCTTGTCTTGTTTTCTGCATCTGAAAGCCAAACACAAGTCTGCCCATGGAAATACAGGGACAGGAAGGTTATTTAGAGAGGACACAGATAATCTGTTTAGAACCCAACATTTGTCTCCATAAAGATTCCAGTTGGGCTTTGTCCCAGTTTTTTCTTCCATTTGGATAAACTCTAATGAGACATGAAATTTTGCATGCTTTCCTTCCCACAGTTTGGCAGTGCAATGCTGAAGCACAAGGTCATAGAGGTCATGACACTAAGTAGGAGAGAAATGAACACACACATGCGTCAAGATGATAACAACACAGGTTGCAGCACAATGTTGCCAGTACAGTGACACACTTTACACAATATTTTGTTCATTAAATAGAGGTTCACTTCTTATTTGTGAATGGTAAACAGCATTAACCTGGGTGGCCTTTATTTGACAATCACTGCAGATGCAAATAACCATTCAGAAGAGGTCCAACAAAAACTGCCAATGAAAGAATGAGTCAAATCTAACAGAAAATTAGCAAGTATGCCACAATGCAAGCTGGTACCTTCCATTGTTGACAATCTATCCTTAGTATTCCCAAACAAGCAGTGCTGTTAGCACTGTGATTCCTGTCCTGCCACCCTATGTCTAATGGTCAAGAAGAAGGAGCAGGTACCGAGACTGTCAAATCAGAATTAATTATGGTCAATCATTAATGCCTCATATCCTGTGCTGGGATCTCACAATTTGAAATGCAAACTTTAGAATGAAGCCTCAGTAGGTGTTTGCTGGGGGACATGCACATGATCCTGCTGCAGAGATGCCAGGCTGGGACATGCCCACCTTGTGCAACCCCTGCTAGGGCAGCCCTGCAAAAGGTGAAGCACATCAGGGCTGAGCGCCTTTCTGCAGGGGGATCTCAGCTCTGTGGCACACTGAGGTAAACATTGCATGTGCTGCCAGAATTGGCAATACATTACACAATATAAACACTGGCAATGTCCCAGATCCAGATGCCATGTATAGAAACTCCCCAGTCTTAATCCTCACTTAAACACCAACTTCATCTCTTTATTCTGTAAATCCATGACATTTTGTTTAAATGTCCAAGTCAGGGACAAGGAAAAACACTACCTCAGAACAGTATCATGACTCACTACATACAAAACACGTCATACATGGTCTGTATTAGTAATGAACTTGTCACTCTGTACTGAAGATCAAGTCTTTTCAAGTTATTCCCATCCAAAAGGCAGCTCACAGGTGCAGAGGAAAAAAATAGCTATTGATGGATTGGCCCCATGGCCCTTTCATGTGGCATATCACTGCAGCCCTATAAAGGTCAAGTTCAGTGGCTTCAGAGAAATAAATAGTAATTCTTGCAGCCTGGCAGTCAGGCACACACAGCTGAGAAGAGTGTCCTGATTTCCATCTGAAGCCACATTGCACTGAGAAGCAGACACCAACCCTGCTTTCCAATATATTTTTCTTTACTTTAATGTTACAGCAAAAACCTAGAATATACCTCTTTAAAAGCAATTATCTTAGATATGCTCTGGTTCTAATAGGATAATAGAACCTAATAGGTGTATTAGAACCTATTATGTATAACATTTTAAGAGAAATATTGTGAGATACCATGGAATGAAGCCTACCTGCAAAGCAAACTGCTGCTCTGGGGTGCAGCCAGTCTCCAGCCTTCCCAGATTGCTTCTTGGCAACCTGTGCCTCCTCCCCTGCTAAATTTTCTCTGCATGTGGTCTCATCCACATTAACACTCTCTTCCCACATATCATCTCTCTCTGAGAATTTACACACTGACACAAAGCATCCACTGGAAGGGATCCTACCCTTATAGTGAATACTTCAAAGTACTCTAAGACCAGAAACTGATTTATCTGGAAGATTTAATCTTCCCTTTACAAACTGAGAAAAACTGACATGTAAATTATGTCATGAACAGGTCATGGCAGGGGGTCATATCAAACTGGCACTCATTCCACTAGAGGGGACTGTTACTGGACCAACAGAATATTAATCAAGAAAAAAATAGGTAGATTGATCTGATACTTCTGAGAATGAGTTGTGAATTGAGAAAATGTGCAAATTTTGCATTTATTTTATCTGTATTGGAAAGAGAAAATCCATATGTACAGAAAATCAATACAATAAATTCAAGCGTTCTGATATGCAACTTATTATGTACCTGGTGACACCCAGTAACAAATCACGACTATCCATAGCCAACACAAAATCAAACTCAAAGGTTAATACTCTGGGAGGAAGCTTACATCAACATTTTTGTCCCCACACTTGTGCTAGGTGTGCCACTGTGCCTCAGTGGGTGGCAGTCCTTGCCCTCCACTGTACCTGGACCTCAGCCCCCTGCAGCCAGAGCTGGGCTGTTGGCTTCTGGAAGGTTCTTCCGATCCTGTCTGGGTACATGGCCTGTCTCTAAAGGAATCACAGCACTCAGGAATTTCAGAGACATAACAGATATTTTTTCAGTGTTGTTGATCCCACTGGGGATGGGTAGGCTGCACAAGAGGAACATTTCCTATTTGTAAAGCTTCAAAGGCTTTCTACAAGAACTGCTAAGAAATACAAATCATCCTCTAAACAACTAACAGTAAGGACAGAGTCCACAGAGATTTAGAAACACTATTGTCTTTGGGAACCACATATTACCTTACAAACAGACTGCCTTTGACCAAGTGTTTACACGTGTTTCTTAGCCATAACTAACTAGGAGGCATTTATTTACTGTTAAAACCCAAATATGCACCTCAGGTGAGCTTCCAGCTAATGCAGCAGAGGTCCTGTCAGAGAATGTTTATAAAGCAATTGCGCTACTCATTGCAGGGGGGATGCAATTTTGACAGAAGTGTCACATTGTCAGCTTTACTGTCTGACCATGCCAAAACACAGGGATAGTTCAGTCACAAGACCAAAAAAAAGTGCTCTAAAGATGGTCATAGAAGATTGCCTTTTATTTTGTGCCAGAAAATAAAAAGGCAAAAGTTATTCTGTAGTGCAACTCTGAATTATTTTATCGTCTTCAATAATCCCAATTCCCACTGACTTATTTTTTTCTTGTAGTTCAGTTTGGATTTATTGTCCTCCCACAGATTTCAGTTGTTTGCATATTTTATGTAATGCATTTCTTACCATGGCAGCTTCAGAAGGATTTTCACACAGCACTTGTTAAGCTCCAGAAAAAGCTATAGTTATGTGGTTTTCCCAAATCTTCAACTAACATATATTTGTCTAAATTCCTCTACCAAAACATGGCTGATCTTTATAATACTGGAATACCTAAATCAAACAAAAAATTTCTATGTTTTTGGCCTGACATTCACACTGAAAGGGACCATACTGAAACTGAGGAGCTTGCAGGAGGGTTAAAGGATGCAACAGATGACAGTAATGCAGACAGAATTCACTAAAGGGGATCATGTGTTACCTAAACAACTATTAGCCAGTCAGCAAAAATATTTTTTTTTCCCTATGATGTATGTCTCTATCAAGATTTATATCTGGGGATGACAAGTTTTTCTCTCAAGCCTTTGATTTTAAAAAAATAATAATAATAAAAAATCATTTGACTTGGGAAAAGGTCAGTAAGGAATGAAAAAACAGTAATTGAGCAAACAAAAATTTTGCAAGATGAAAGCTAACCACTCTTCCACAGAAGCTCATCGTGCCCTTTGCACCAGCCCTGTGGCAGCACGGGGAACTGCTAATCTCTCCCTGCCACCTGAGAGGAGCCCAGCGAGGCAGATGTGAGCAGGAACAGCTGCATTAGCTGCTCTTGGACAATCTCTAGCTGAGCCTCGTTCAAAGGGTGTCAAACGTGACAGCAAGATCTCTCTTGAAGATATAACAATCTCTGCAGGCAACTGCTCAAGCTTCTGGCCATGCAAACTGGGGAAGAAACAAGAGGGACTTCCCCCAGACTCTGGTATTCTGTTAGTCACTTAAATGCATTGCCTTAAGATGACTAGGAACAACAATCCCAAGGGCTCTGGATGAAAAAGTAATTTACTTCCATTTTAAACTTTCTGTTAAGTCTGGACACTGAACCTCCATTAGAAAAGTTTTGATTTCTGACAAGCATGTGGAAATTCTCCTGTCAAAGTTAATTCATTGAGAAAGTCCTTATGTGAATCATTTCAATTGAATGGGAAAAATCAATTTCAGACTGAAATTCTTTATCATATTGACCTATAGTAAATCTATATAATTTACTGTGAATCCTTGAAGCCACACTGGAAGTAATCTTGAAATCACAGAAAAAAATACCACTAATAGATTAGACAACTAGAGGGTAGACAGCAGCCCATTAAAACAGTGTTTTCAGGTTTGTAAGGTTGTGAGTAGGCTGGGTAAATCACTGAGGTAAATGCACTGCATAAAAACAAGTTATTATTACGTGAGGGTGTAGCTGTCTCAGTATAAAAGATGGTTGAGTAAGCAGATCGAATAGCAAAAAGCAGGAAGTTAACAACAGTGCTAAGGAGATTAAAGAAACAACAACTGGTATTCTACTGAAAGAGGTATGTGACTTAAGGCAAAAATAAGATAAAGAAAACAAATTTTAAAATTTGCTTGCTTTATCCATTTCTTGGGCAAAGGTTAGCTGAAGTTAACGACTCCCTTTTGCCACAGAGTTAAGACTTCAATGATATTGTTGATCTCTTCTGCTCTCTCATGTGTCATAATGCATCTCTTGATCTTTCATAGTAAGCTCATTAAAAGATGCTAGGGGATTTTTATGGCTTTATTTGTGAGGAGTATCCTCTCTAGAATATCTAGTTCCATTTACCAGTCTTGACTAACAGCTACTGTGTGACCACTTGCTTGGTGCATTTGCACTTTTGGGGTGGAGATGAGAATAAGAAAGGGGATGGAGATAGGAGAAATAAAAATTCTAAATTCTTAAGTTCTATGACAACTATTTGATACATGGAAATAAATATATGAGATAATGAATCAATGTATTTTTGAAGAGCATGTGGAATTACTGCAAGACTGGAAGAAAGCAAATAGCACTTCAACCCACAAGATAAAAAGAAGGATCCCAGCAACAGCACGGATGCTATTTTTTCAAATAATGAAGTAGTACTATAGAATATTAAGTACCCCAGTGACTACACAGAGCTAAATGAAGCCATCAGTTCTGCTGCCTGGATATACCTCCTTAGACTTGGGTGGGTTTTTTTTAATTTTCGTTTTTTTATTAATTTTTTTTAAGCAAACACTGATTGCAAAATTTGGAGATGAGAATGCAATGAGATAAAATCCATCTGGGTGTTACAGAAGTGTTTCCTAATGTGTCTTCTTGCAAAAATGTAATTTAAAAACACCAGTGTGCACCACTTGAATGAAATAGAAGAGAAGCAAAGGAAAGGAAAGAAAGACTCATCATTTCCAGCACTCATCAGAATCTCCAGAGCCTTGGGTTGTCCTCCAGCTGTGTTGGGAGGCTGAAGTCAAAGCACCTTTTATAGTAGCTCCTGCTCTTGGGAATATGGGACCCTTTCCTTACATTTGGTCAACAAGATGGGTTTGAGATGTATTAGTCTAATATGGAATAATTAATGATATTACTTACAGCAAAGGTTTTACAACAATATGTGGGTGTATAAAATGAAGTGTGGCACATGACAGCACCTCAGGAGGAAGTCTTGCAATGATCTGCACTCCACACTATGGGCTGAAACATGAGTAAGCTCGGGATGTCAGCAGCCAGAAGAGCACAACAGAGGGTGTTGCCACAGAAAAAGTCTTTTTCGTGGAGTGTATGAACAGCATATGGAACAGACACTGCTTACTATATTCTAACAGCTTTTAGTATTTACAAAGTGACTGAACAGTTTAACCCTCTTCAAGTGTTCCTCTGCTGTTCAGAATCAGCTGCCTAAAGCTCATATAATTAATGATCCATTTCTCACTGATGATGATTTGACATTTATAGTATTTACAGCATTTATTGCATGCTCCTGCTAATGGAGAGACAGATTTCCTTATGTGCTATAGACATGAGCCCAGCTTAAATGCCATAATTTCCTCCAGGAAGACTTGAAGTTGGATGTCACCAGTTATAAACAGAGATGTGGTATTGGAGGAATATTTCCTAGCATTTGCATTGCATACCTCTAACCAGGAAGAACCTTCTTTGGATCGCTACGGAGTGAGTCAAAATGCTGTGACTGCAGTCATAGCAAATTCATCTAAAGCTATGGGCAGACTGCCAGAGAAGCTCAAAGCACAGTTTTGGGGCAAACTATACTATGGTGGGTGTTGTGTTTGAAAGGTTGAGAAATGAGCAGGCTGTGTGCCAAAGAAGAGGAAACACTCAGGAGCTCCAAGCAGCCTCAAGTACAGTAACATCCCATGGTACAGAGATTAATCCTGGCAGTGCTGCCTCAGGCTTAAAAGGTACTCAAGGCAGAATGAGCCAGTGCCTGAAGTGCCACCCCAGGATGTACAAGACTGGGGATGAAAATGCAGTCTGTTTCTGACTAGTTAAAGTATTTCTCAAGGCTGGTATC